AGCTATTCGTGCTCATGTGCTCGCACATGTGAAATCATAAATTTGCAAAACAGTGTGTTCTACACATTTGATTTTACTCTGAGTGGTAGTTTAACGTTGAATGCAAAATACATCTATGAATATGTTCTATATACGTACATGTATAACAGTCCTCTGTTCCGATAAATAGGACTTTTCTAACGCTATCCCCAAACCTTCGCCGATAAAACTAATAAATCAGACCATGCAAACACGTTTCAGAGAGGAGGTACAACACAATTGTTCACCAAGTTGCTGCGTATCTTGCATATGAAAATACACAGTAAATGACAATCGATAAATTATCATCAACTGCTATTGTGACATTTATTGCAAAAAATGTTTTAGCTTCCGTATAGAGTTTCATGAATATAAATTAACAAAACAATTTTTTTCTAATAAGCGCAATTACTTTTTTTGATATTTTCGTAGCTGTGAATAGGTCGCAGAAGAGAGGAAATGCGTTTTAACTTATAATTCCATCAGTGTGTACAAACTATACTCATAAAAAAATCGCTTTTCAGAGTAATTCTACTTGAATTGGATTAACTTTCTCTTGTTTCGTTATGACAAAACAAGTTTTCACATCTTTTGAAAAAAGTCAACATACTATAATAACTACTATAATAAATTCATAAAAAAATTTTAAATGATTTTAATACTAATTATTTGTTATTAATGCATTGTTACTGCTGATTTGAAAATGAAAAACGAATTATTTATAAAGAATATCTAGTATTGCCAGATGCACTTGTAGATTTAACACAAGTCAAATCCTAACAAAAAAATTCGTAAAGTTGCTTATGGAGTTTATTGCAGTGAGAATGTCGCGAGCTCACAATACCACAAAGGAAATACTCAAAGGACAATACTAGGTTTAGAGGAAGTGCTTTATGAATTTATTCCATTGGACTTCTTTCGACTCGATTTATTTGCAATCATATAATAATAACGTCTATTTTGTGAGAGAAACTTTCATTTTTCTTCTGACGAATTACATGATCTGAACAGAGATTAATAAGACGATCTGAAGATTATGGACTCTATTCTTATACGCAAATGAATAAAGAAGTTTAAATAATTGTCGAGCTGTACGATTTGATTCGAAAATAAACTACATATATATATTTGCAGAGGCTATATGTTGTTTGTGCAACACGGATGAACTGCTGTGACACCAAACACTGATAATACAACCCTTTCCTCTTCTCTTACGCCATTTTCGCTGTCTGCCCATCTATTCTTGCCTCCCTTCACTATCACCGTACTACCACCACCCCCGTCTAGTCTGGCAGAACAGTAAAGTTATCCGTTATCCCAAAATGTGCTCCCACAAATCTGCGAAATCAATCTGCAACAAATTTTATGGGATACTAAATTCATTGGACCACATTTCGAGATTACTGTCGCTGTGGGCTTAAATCTGGAAACAGCTCCAATCATAATATTTCATGCTGATAGCTTGCCCATTACTAGTGAGTTATTACAGGTTATATTTTCCAATATATTTATCGCGTATGTTCTTTAAAAACCATATATACACCCTATCAAAAATTGACTACTGGCTCGCTACTGGTACCAGTACTGCTGCACCAGCACTGAACTCTGGCAATTTCTAGTAGAGCAAAAAATAATCTTTTGGAACGAAAAAACGAGTTAAAATTTTCTACTCTGAAATGAAATATGAGTGTTACAAAGTAAGTCTAAAAAATCATCTACATCCAACTGCAGTACAGTAGGATTTGCTGAGCCCATTAAGCATACAAAGCTTCGGAATTATAGGATAATTCTCATCGTTACTTTTAATTGTATTTTCGACCACAGAGTTATTACTAGTGCACAATTTTACAGCTTTTAAACTCCAACACGAATTAAAATACATTATTTTGTAAATGTAAAAAACATTTATATTTGACAACTTTTAGTGATATTTCAATTATACCGAAATATATTGTCAAATAAAAATAATTTAACATAAATATCGACATAATAAGATTATTTGATGGCAGATATCAAATCATTGTATAGGTGATAATTCGCAATTATGTGCTCAATCTGTTGTCAGTAGACAGACAAATAACCGCAATTAGGAACTAATTGGTCCCTTAATTTCATGTTCGTTATAACGAGAAAAGCAAAGTACTTTGTGATTTATATGCTTTTCACTAATAAATTTTGAATCAATTAGGCAATAAATACATGTACAATGTATTTAAAATGGTTATAAAAATTTGATCCAAATATTTGGATCATTTTTATAAATTACCCGGAAATTCGGATCATTATTTGATACCAAATTGGTATCAAAGTGTATCTGTCATGGCTGATAGAAACTTACTCGCATAATTTTAAGGAGGGAAACCACATGTAATAAATAATTAAATAACAAAATATTTTTTGCTAACAAAAATGTATGAGACAAATTAATAATCGGCGCACTTTTTAATAAATTTGCAATAATATCATCATATAATAATTCATAAAGATATTAGATACTAGGCTTACATTGAATAATTTCCCATTCAATTTTGACATTAAAAACGGCGAGACTGTTTTCTACATCGAAGAGCAAAATCAGCGATTGACGAAGGTACCTATATGCATATAGATAATAAGCAGAATCAGCAACCTCAGCACATGCTGCGGAAACTCACGAAGCTTAGCTGTCGATAGTGAGAGACGGCAAGATTAATCGAACCCACGTGCAACAAATTTGTTCTAAACACGATACTGGGTTAATAAATTTTAACACTAAATAACAGAATGTCTAACATTGTAATAATAACATTATTACTATTTAAAAAGCAGAGAACATATAATAAGAATTTTTGTTCAGAAACTTATAAAAGCAAAAGAAAAAAATTACATATTATATTTATATCGATATGCGAGACAACCAGGAATACATTGTACTTACAATACACGAGAAAATGACGTGCATTTATGGAAAAAACTTTTTCAAATCTACATTCGACCATAAAAATATGAAATAAATTGAATCTTATGTATGAGTTGATGTTGATATTATTCTTTATATTTGATTTTTTATTTAACCACGAAATATTACCCTGAAGCTCTGAATGTTCAAATAAACAATTTTTTTAAAAATTCTTTTCTTCAATTCAAATTTTATTACAAAATATTGTTTTGTGTCAGAGAAAAAAAGATAAAAACGTTCAACTGTACTTTATTATTTTTCAATACAGTAGTAAAATTTGATGCATTAATAATTAAAATAGACAAGACTGAACAAATAATAATTTTTTATCTGAGCCTCTGCTTTGCTATTAACAGATGAGCCAAAAGTTCTGAATATTCAAATGAATTTTATTACAAAATTTTGTTTTAAATATCTAAAAAGAAATTATTAATTTAATAATTGTTTAATTTACTGTTTTATTTTACATTGACATCATAATTTTTAATAATTTATATATTGAAAAAAATATTTCGTTTATTTGAACGTTCAGAACTTCTGGCTCATATTAACAGTTTAATTTAAAATATTTGTTTAAAATAATTAATTGAATATTGTTCAAAAATTTGCTGATACGAAATAATCGAATAATACATACGCAACTTAAATTATAAAGTTATTATTTTTGTGAACGTTATTTTTTTATAGCTTCATTTTGAAAAAATTTCTCTGCTTTCGTCTTTCACGTAAATAGACTTATGTATTGGAAATAGAAAAAAATGTTCTCTTTTTAGTTTTTTTTAATACAGTCCCAAGCTTACGTGCAATCTTGTGCCCAGTTTGTGTCAAATAACAAAATGTCCTATTGAACAACAAGCTTGCGTGGCGAGTTTGTTGCAAGATTACTTGACAAACTTGAGATAACTTTGCAGTGCAAGCTTGCTGCGAGATTGACGCGTAAGGTTAAAAACCTTAAGACTATACGAAGTCGAATTCTATAGAAGCTACGGTTGCAAAGTAAACTTTTTTACCTTCCATATAAATAATCCTCAGTATACATATATTCAAAAATAAGTCGTATCTCAAAAGACAAAATTAAATTTCAAGTAATTAAACAATAGGACATCTCATGTCAATTTTATTTCACTCTTTCTCGAAAAAGTGTATTTTAGTACATATTAGAATTGCAACTTTTTTTCATTTACAAGAATTTCACCTTTAAATTGAAAACCTAAGCCAGGGATATCATACCAATTTAATAACTTTTCATGTTTTTATTGTTATATTATGTAATATTCTTTTTACTATAACATTATAATAATATTATATTGATTTTCAACTGATAAGACCTATTAATTACAATTATATCATTTTAATTATTTATCATTATTTAAATATTATCGTTTGAAATTTAATATAATTAAACGGTTTCACAAAAAAGCAAATATTATTACAAATGCAGTTGGGAAACATTCATTTGAACGTCTAGAATCCATAAAATACGTAACGACAATCATTGAATCGTGAATTTTGAAAAGAGCTCAACTCGAAAAAGCGTAAGTGCCATTTTTACATAACAAACGATAGTGAAAAATGACTCTTACGGTTTTCAGAGTTGAGCCGTTTTCGAAATTCACGATTCAATTATGATCCTCTTTCGCAACTTTATGATAGACGTCTTGTGAGTCACAGTATTTTAATTTTAATTTTTACTATTTTAAAACTTAATGTTATTTTGAAAAATAATAAGGAAAAAAAATACGTTTATTGTACGTAAATAAGATATTTTAGAGAACGGCAAGAGAAAAAATTGTGTTTTAAAATAATAAAATTAGAAATAGGAAACTCTTAAATAGCGCGATAACTAGAAATATAAATAAGATACAGATTAGACATTAACAACAAAAAAATGTATATTTTAATCACGAAAAAAATTTTCAGATTTGAAGGACAAAATAAAAAATGATTACATTTTAATAACGAAAACTTATAATTAAAACGAAAATATTATGTCACTTTGTAAAACGCGAAAAATTATAATAAAAGTAGGTTGGTATATAAATACCTTGAAAATTGTCTAATAAAAGGTCAGGGTGGATTTTTAATTGCAACGAGTCACAATTGAAAAGAAAAGAAAGACTGAAAAGTAAAACATTGACGTAAACAAACCGGCCGGTGCGGTAGGAAAGTGTTCATAAGATTCACGTCCTTGAGGGGGGAAACAAAGCATAACGATCGGGAGCGCGTAAAAATCAAGAGGGAAATGAATTGGTTTAAAAAAAATTAAATTCACGCTGCAAGAGTATTTTGACGGAAGGAAGCGTCGCTTACGTTCAGGGAGATTTCGACAATTGTCACTACACGTGCATTACAAATTCTGACACGTAAATAGGTGTGCAGTGTACACGAGGTTTTGTCCTCGAGAGCACGTTTGACAGCTCGAAACAGACACTTGCACTTGGCGAGGTTCGACGAACCTCACGGGACGATCGACTCGGGTCATGACAGTCGACGATTAAGATTGGAAAAGTAAAATAAAAAAGTACTCACCAAGTGAAGAACTGTGTTCACCACCTCCCGATTAGACACCTGTCCGACCTCGATTAGTCCTATCAGCACGGCAAATTTCAAGCTGTCGTTCATCGCCATCGCCACCACCTCCTCTGGCCGCTTGATGTCACTAAACGGGGAACTTTTCAGATCCGCCATCGCGAACACCAATTCTACACTATTTATTCTTTAATCACGAGAAAATATTTCACAGTTTTCAAACACTAACCGTCTTATCAATGAGAAGATTTGCCTGTCACATGATAATACACCACAATTTCATCTGCCATGTTAGAAAGTAGTCACTACAAGTAACTATGATGCACAGCTTGCCAACCAGTAGGACTGCGACTTTCCTAGACGAACGCAACGATGCGCCACCAAGTGGCCAGAACGCAAACTGAATTTCTCATTCACTTTATGTTGGTAATAATTTTAATTTTTTTTTTTTATTATTTCCAATTTTTTTTCTCTCTTTTAAGTGATAAATTTCAAATTGGATAAGCTATTTAATATTTATTTTCTAAAATTGTTTGAATTTGATTATCAAAACTTTTTGAAAATATTATTATTCTCTTTTTTTATAATTTGACTATTTGTAAAAAATATTTTTAAAAAACACGAATTCAAAGTACTATAAACAATAGTAATAATTTTAACTTAAAAATGATTTTATTGTTATTTTTTTTTTAAAGTTGATCCTGTCGAGTTTAAAAAATTTAAGAATTAAAATATTTTTTATTAATATTCTTATGTGAATTCAGAGAGAAAATTATTATATACATGAGATTGTTATTATTATCAAAGTTACATATTTCAATAATTCGAGAATGTGCAAAAAAATTTGGTTTTTTTAAGCCTTTTTTAAATGGTGAAAAACCTTAAATTTCCATTAATTTCAATAATTCCCAATTATTCGCAAAGGAAAATTCTGGAAAGTTTCTGGATTATTTTGACACTGTATTCAAAATGGCGGCGGTAGATGTTGAACGTGTAAAGGTGAGTGTTATTTATTGCAATTTTTAAACTATTTTGTCAAAATTTTCTTTGGTTTTTGTTATTGAGAAAAAAGTTGAAAGTAAATTGTCAATATGTTGTTGGAGATTTTGTGATATGTAAATTTGAAAACAGTAAATTCGCTTACTCTAAGAAGGGCGTTGGTTCTTTTTGTAGCAGGTGTATAATATCGCCGGTGATGAGCAATACATAAATATATTTCTGTCCATTTAGGGAAGAAATACTGTTAACTATTGTGTTAGACAATTTCTAAAATAGACAACATGAATAATTATTTGTTTCAGTTGGAAACAAATATTCGAAATTTAAAGCTATCAGGACACGTTGGATTTGACAGTTTGCCTGATCAGCTGGTTAATAAATCCGTTCAAAATGGATTTGTTTTCAACATTTTGTGCATCGGTAAGTAAATTTATTCTTATCGCATTTTTATTATTTAATTGTTTCTTTCTAATTTCATTAAATTAGAAATGTAAATACAAATAATGTGTTTTCTAACCTCAAAGAAGTTTCTTCAACTTTTTATGCCTTATAATTTCTGATACATAACAAAAATATCTGCATTTAAAAATATATAACAATGATAATTTCACATTAATATTTTGAATTATATTTACAAGTAATGTTAAACAATTTCCCAAGAAATTTAATTTGATTGTGTAGAGTTTTTATTATTTTTTTCTTCAGTTTTTCAGAAACAATTTTCTTTTCAAAACAGTTACTTTTGCAATACTAATAAAAGTAATTCACATGAATTTAAAAACAACTTTAAATTTTCATCCAAGTTTTAAAATTAAACTATTAAAACATTAGAAATGATTAAAAATGAATTATTTTATAATAAAAAGGAAATATATAAAAATGTATCTTTTATCGGTGAATGCTAAATACGTTAAAAATGTTTGTATTAAAAAGTAATTGTATTTGTTATTATAAAATAGTTTAATTTTATGATACAGGTGAAACTGGACTTGGAAAGTCAACACTCATGGACTCACTTTTTAACACGAGTTTCGAATCGAGTCCAAGTCCTCACAATTTGCCTGCAGTGAAATTGAAGGCACATACTTATGAATTGCAGGAGAGCAATGTGAGACTAAAACTCACCATCGTTGATACAGTCGGCTATGGGGATCAAATTAATAAAGAGGATAGTTTTAAAGCTGTCGTTGACTATATCGATGCACAGTTTGAAGCTTACTTGCAGGAGGAACTCAAGATAAAACGCTCGCTATCTACTTATCACGATAGCCGTATTCATGTTTGTCTTTACTTTATTTGTCCAACGGGTCACGGGTAAGTCTATACAATCGTCTAAACAAAGGCATCATCTTGAATTTTTATTTAATGTAAAATATGTTAAGCTTAAGTTGTCGGAGCACATAAATTTTATTTTTTCAAATCTTATTAGATAATAAAAATTTGATTAATTGTGATCAATTCGAATTCTCGAAAATCTTGGCAAATTGTTTCGCTTTTTTATTTCGCGATTACAGTGGGAAAGATTGATTTTTCAGAAGAAAGTTAACAACTATTGCTGTGCTTAGCTAGCAGAACAAAAGTTGTGTCTTTTTGTTGGTGAGATGAGTTTTGAAAAAACAATATTTAAATAATATAAACTGAATACAAAATTAGTACTAATTAAGGCGCAAAATACAAATGATCTTGGAAAGCGAGAAATAGAAATCATTCATTTTCATGACTTTAAAAACTAATGTAAGCATTGATAAAATTAATGAAATAATTTTGTTTATAGATTAAAATCGATCGATTTGGTGTGTATGAAGAAACTAGATACCAAAGTTAATGTTATTCCCATTATCGCTAAAGCTGATACAATTTCAAAAACTGAACTACAAAAGTTTAAGGTCAGTTTTCACAAAAATAAAATAAAAATGAAACAAGAGCATTTTTTCAAAAAAAAATTTGATTTAAAAAATTCTCTCCTTTACAGAACAAAATAATATCGGAATTGCAAAACAATGGAGTGCATATTTATCAATTTCCCACTGATGATGAAAGTGTTGCTGATGTAAACACTTCGATGAATACGCACGTGCCTTTTGCAGTCGTTGGCAGTACTGATTTCGTTCGAGTTGGTAATAAAATGATGCGTTCTAGACAATATCCTTGGGGCACAGTGCAAGGTAGCTTATAATATATTATTTCTATATTCAAATGCAGGTGGTGCATCTAGTAATTTACATTTAAATTAAATTTGAATTTCAGTTGAGAATGAATCACATTGTGACTTTGTGAAATTGCGCGAAATGCTTATTAGAACCAACATGGAAGATATGAGAGAGAAAACACACTGTCGTCACTATGAATTGTATCGCAAAAAGAGACTCGAGCAGGTATAGAAAGCATTTTTTTTCTTTTTCTTACATTTTATGAAAATTTTCAATTTATTTCTTTTTTTTAGATGGGATTCAGTGATGTTGATAGTGACAATAAGCCGGTGAGTTTCCAACAAACTTGCGAAGCAAAACGCTCGACCCACTTGCAAGAACTTCAACAAAAGGAAGATGAAATGAGACAAATGTTTGTGGCACGTGTAAAGGATGCTGAAGCCGGGCTGAAGGACGCGGAAAAAGAAGTGAGAACAATTTAATATTACTTTATGATGCTTCTTGAGTTCATTTTAATATTTTTCTGTACAATTGAAATTATTTACAAGAATTGTTGGTTTTTTGTATAATCTCTAAATTTGTGTTTACAGTTACACAACAGATTCGATAAGTTGAAAAAAGATCACACTGAAGAAAAGAAAAAGCTAGAGGAGAGTCGCAAAAAATTGGAGGACGACATTCAGGAACTCAATCGTCGAAAAGTTCAGGTCGCTCAGCAAACTCAGCATCATACACTAACTTTAGGCAAAAGCAAGAAAAAGTGAAAACAAATTTATTTAATCTTAACAAGACATTTAATCAATTTTATTTATCCAGTTACATTCATATATTTATTCTTGCAAAAAGACAAATGCATTTAAAATATAAAAGAAGTCTTGTGTAGAAGTGAGTATTATCGTCATTAGATAAATTGATAATTCACAAAACTATTCAATTTTTGAGCAGTCTCCCAAAGGTAGATTTGATACATTTTTACTATTGTATTATTTTTAAGATTTTTATAGAATAACGTACAACTTAGTATTGATGGAATTTATAGTCGCTAAATTCTTTATAATACGCACATTGAATAAAGCAACGACATTTAAATAAAAAAAGTCAAATACAATTTATTTTCCTTAGAGTCTTTTTTATTTTAATAAAAAATTCAAGTGAGTCGAATATTTAAAAAGCTCGAAATCAAATTAAACTATGTTTAATTAAAAATGCAATTAACCCCAAGTAACTTTAATTATTTTCGGAGATATTTAAAAATTAAAAAGGAGTTATAAGGGAGAAAAAATCAGTCTGAGGCATTAATTCAATAATAAAAAGGGATAATTTCATTAAGATGGAATTATTTATTATATAACAAAAGGAGGTAACAATTTATGTTTCGTTACAAATACAATGCGATCACCCGTTGAAACTGGAAGATTGGAAAATTAAGACTACTAAAAAAATGTATTTTAACAGTTTCCTAAAAAAGAAATAATTTTTATTCTTTTTGAAAGCAATTGCTGTCAAAAATGTTGACAGTTTTTCGTTGAAAAAAAAATTTTGTTTTTAAACATTAAAGACATAAGTTAACGGAATGAAGATTTTTTCGCTAAAAATAAGAAATTACATATCACTAATACTAAAAACGTAAGCAGGTACAAAGTTATTGCTACCAACAGAAACAATTTATTTTCATAATGGCGAATGTCATTTAAGGCATTTATGGTGAATCCACCAATTAGCAAATTCAAGTAGAATGTGTATTTTACAAAGAGAATTAAACCTTCAATTTATGTATGTATATTTAACAATCTAATTAATTATTAACTTTTAAATGTTTGATATTTTTTATTTCTATTCATAATTTTTCTTGTTATCATTTCTTTTTTTAAATTCAATGAAATTGGAGTGAAATTATTCTGTTTGAAAATGCCCATTTAATTATTGAAATGCTAGATGGATGAATTCTCTGCGACTTAAAAGAAAACTATAATAATTAACAACATTACAAATATATGACTCGAAGTCAAATCTTATGGCAAATAGAACTAAAATATTTATAATAAATACATTATTCTCTTACATTACGAAATTAATATGAAAATTATAATTTATAGTACAGAGTGTAGAGGCAGTTAATAGTAATATTAATAATAATATACAATGAAGCCAATTACATGGTTTTTTCTTCTCGAGATCAACGTGCCGATAAAATTCTTTGCTTTGGTCTTCCTTTACAAAAAGTGCTCTTGCATTTCTGGAAATCGAATTATTCGTACACACTCTTTTTCAGTATTATACAGTTGTTATTTAATTACCTTCCATTGACGTCCTTAATATTTAACTTTACGTGTATAAAAGTACAAAAGATATACATTATTATGAAAAAAAAATTTTTATTTTCTAAGTGTCAAAAAGTAGAACATCTGTTTTTCCAGAAAGACTTTATGTTTCCCGTATCGATTTTGGAGATATTTTTTAAAAAAATTAAACATTTATAATGTAGATACCTATTTCGACCAACCCTGATTTTTTAATATCTACATGAATAGAATGCGCGCTTATAAGTGATTCTGTTCTACAGGTTGAATAATAATAAAATGTATGAAAATCGATTCTGTAAGTTCTATCAGCAATGACCAAATACCAAAAGGAATGCCATTTTTATCACAACATTAAGAAGGAATTGGATACACAATAATTTACAATTAGAGGACTTATATTTTCCGATTTATGGATAAAACTAAATATTTTTATGAAATTGCACAAACAAAAGAAGAATAAGAAAATATTTATAGAATTTATTCTTATAAATCTTCTATTTTAAAAATTATTGCTTTTCGATGTTTTAAATGACTCGCAAACCTTTTTAGCTAAAAAAAATAATAAATACAAAATATGCGGGAAAAAGTTTTTTTCGACTTTTTTTCCTTATTTGTTTGAGTAACGTATTGGTTTAAAAAACGTAGTATGGATTTTATATTATAATATGCATCATCATCGTTTCTCATCAGCTTTAATTATAATTTATATATCCGTTAATTACTCATTTTCATTATAATTTTATTAAAAGTTATATTTTTTTAATATAAACTTTTTTAAAATTAGTGTAAATTCTATTTGGAATCAGACAAATTGAAAATTAGAAAACGTAAAATTGACGTAAATTGAAAATCAACATGGAGTCTTTTATTGGGACAATTTAAAGTTTGGTCATTGCATTTCAATATATTGTATATAGGACTAAATATCTACATCTCGTTTACCGGTTTCTTCCAAAAATACAAAAAGGAAGATAAATATCATTAAAATTAATTAATTAATTATTTAAACATACTTTAAATTTAACTAATTAATCGTAATAAATTCAAATTGTCCAATAGTATACAAAGTTATGTATATTGTTTTGGTTCTTTTTCTCGTAAGTAAATATAAATAAAATAGTATTTATGTTTGTAGCAAGAAACGAGAAGAAAAAGTCATTTTTACCACTATTTTTTATTAAACCTTAATTATACCTATTGATTGTTGGTGATTTAGGCATGAAAATGTGTGATAAATATTATACATTAATACACATAAAATGTAGAGTATAATAATGAAATACAAATTATAAAAAATTCATACAATCTGCGATGAAGGTGAATATATTCTTGTTAGTTATCCAAGATATGTGAAAATTTGCTTTTTTGAGGTTTACAGTTCAGGAAAATAAAATTTAATGAAAACTCGAAAAACAAAAAAATTTTACTTATAAAAAAATGATAAACAAAAAAATTTGTAAGACTTATGATAAAAAGTCCTTTTTATATTTACAATTTTTTAAATTGAATTCGCAATTTAACAAACTTTGTACAAAAGTTACAAAATAAAGTCAACGTAGTATCATGGATCAAGATATTGAAAATGTATTCTTAAATTGACAAAATTATTTTTTTTAAATAATTTCCAAACATTAAAAAAGTGCAAAGATATTTTTCTCATTTTTTTTTTTTTTATTACTTTGCAAAAATTTATTTAAATAGTTTTATTTTCAATTATGTAATATCTCGATCAATAATCATTTAATTAATTAATTAATTAATAATAATAATAATAATAATAATAATAAAAACAAAACAAAAAATTTAAACAAAGAACCAACAAATTTTAATTAAGAAAAGGTATATCAATTCGACAGATAATTTACCAACTCGAATGGAAACAATATTTGACGTACGTATTTTATAATTACGTATAGTGCTAAAATGGCTTGAATAAGAAAAGTCATTAAAGTTTGATTATAATAAGAAGAAAAGGGTGGAGGAAATATGTGAGAAGAAGCTCAATTTTCTTATTCATGGATGGTTATGAGTGATTAGGTGCACTACGGTACTTGTCTCGAATGTGAAGAAAGTTGTTGCTGTGCTTATTTTACGGTTACGCGAAGTGCTGGCTTGAATTTAAGAAAATGGGTCACCTGACAGGGGTCGTGCCTCGCCAAGAAGTGCTCCAGGGTGTCCCACCCTCCGCCCACTCTCACCATCATGTGTCTTCCTTTGAGAAGCTGCAAACAGTGCCATGGTAATTAGTCAAGCGTTTTAAAATATTTACCCTTCGCGCGTCGAGTCAAGGGCGAAGGGTATTTAGCGAGCGCTTTCAATTTTAGAAAAAAAACAAGAAAATGTGAGTACTTTCAGAAAAATGCCTGACGTAAAGAAATCGTTAATATAATTAATTTTCGTAAATTTATTCTAATAATTAATTTAATTATATAAGTATTTCATATAAATCGCTTACTCTGATGAAAACATTGCGCCCAGCTATGTGAAATCTTCCTTCCCCAACTTTTCGGACCTTCAGTTTCGAACACTTATTCGAAGGACATTGACAAAGCCTTTGGACGGCGACCCTCACCTGCAATAGCCAATAAAAAGTCAAAAAATTTACTTCTTTATTTGAGTATTTATTTAACCGGATTTTATAAGTAAAAATTTATACTGTGTCTTTAATTAAAAAAAATTTTTTTTTATTAAATAAGACATTAATTTTGCAAAGGAAGCAATTATTCTTTTCGCCTCTTCCCATACGTTAACACTCGAAACGAGGTCAAATAATCCACTTATTTGTTCTTCAAGTATTTATTCTATCACTCGACATTTTCAATTGTTCACTTATTATATATGATTGAAAATACTAATTCAAGCATGTCAAGATTATATGTACATATATAAGCACAACGACCGGAAGTCAGTTTACGTTTACGTAATTTTCGATAACTTCTCTGCACCCATTGCTCAAAATTCAATTTCCTGTCGTTAATTCAAAAACCTGTTTATCTTATATATGTATGTCTTCTTGTTATAATTTAATATTTATCGTGTCTCTATAATTAAAATGTCTTTAATAAATATTGGTTATAGTTTAACATATAACTCTATTAATTAAATAATTTATAGAGTTTCTAAAAATAATTATTAATTGGATTTGTAAAAAAACTGTAGGGAATTTATTTCCTTGATGCAGTTTATTGATCGTCTTTCTCAACAAACATTTTTCATTTCTTTAACTTGTATATTTTTCTTGGACTTTTATATTTCAATTAGGAAATTTACAATTAAAATATGCATCCGATAATTTTATTTATGGAGAAATAAAAAATTTAATTAAAAACGAAGATGAGAAGAAATTTAATGAAAAAAGAATTACTGTAACTTATTTTACTAATAAAATGCTAATAGGTAATTTATGTTATAAACTTGGTTTGAATAGAAATTTGACATTATAAATTTCGAGTACTAATGAGATTTGTGGAATATTCCATGCGCCCTAAAATAGTGAAAAATAAATGAGAATTTTAACATTTAGAAATTTGACATACTTTCCGGTCGAGTTCTGTGATTGGTCCCGTATGTTCCGGAGGTTCAGCAGGCGACGGAGATGGAGAACTTGAGGGTGATGGAACTTCATCTGGATCCTCTGCACTGCCTCGTGACCAGTCGTCTTCTGTTGTATCACTGGGAACTCCGTCGCTTCCGGTTGGTCCATTGTCACTAACAGATCTCCTCATTTCTGATTCGTGGTTTGTTTCCGCTGTAGGATCCAGCCAATGTGGAGTTGTTGTGCTCATTTCGTTGGCCGAACTGCAAAATTAAATAACAATCAATAAAAATAAGAAAATAACAATCGAGGCTTTACTCTATAACATTTTAAATATAAATAATAATGCACTCAAATTGTTATTATGATGTCGGTCACCATTGCATGACTGATCGATGAGTTTATTGGTGGATTTATTCAATTTTTTTCTTTTCAGGATTATTCACGAAATTATGCTATGTACCTGCTGTGTTTTATTTTATCTGGTTGAGGTCGTGGCGATGCTGTTGGCGATGGTGATTGGAATTGCCAGGAAACTAAGCTACTGTGAGAAATTCCACTATCTGAAAGGCAATGAAGATCTCGCTCTTGTTCTGCAGCAATTTCTCTCTCGAGTTGCACCAAACCTGGAGGTTCCACGGAGTATTGCGCCGCTAGTCGAGACACTTCCAAAAGGCACAAAATCACATTTCGCGGTTGCCCATGTAAAACTGAAAATAAATATTATGTCAATAAATATCCTTATTCTTAACTAAAATATTAAACGAAAAAAATTATTATTTTTCATCTATTTTTTTTCAGGAAAAAATTTGAAATTTCTGTAAAAAGTCTTCGACTCTAATAACTGTAATTTGATAAAATTAAGTAATTAACAATTCTGGTGTATAATAGACTTGAAAACTTGTCTCAATTTATGTTTGACAAGTTGAAACCACAACACTTGTAGCTTTCAAACTTTTTCGACGACGATTACCGAAATTTGAAGGTTTTCTTAAACTAAGTTGAACAAAACTGCTTCCACTCTAACGTTCTCATTATGTTTACCAACAATCAACTAAAATATTAGGTTCTAATTTTTTATAGAACCAATATTCTATGCTGATTTAAAAAATTAATTCAATTTGACTTTCTATTATTTAGTGATTTAAAATTTGTTGTAAATTATTTTGTAATTTTAGGTATGTATAATAAAAAATTAAATGAAGATTACATTAAAAAAAAAAAAAAAACAAGAAACGACTGTATACATGTACACAAATCATCAAAGATAGTTGAATATAAAAAGAAAAATTCGTATTCTGAATAAAAAGTCTCTAGAGCTTTTGATATTTTTCCTCATTTGCATCGATAAACGTCATTTGCATAAATTGGCTACTCAGCTTAATTGAAAGTGATCCCGATTCAGTGAATACTGGAAATGCTGTCTCGTCTGATGAAAGAGCGACTCTCTCCCTCTCTCTCTGCTTATTGATTGTGGCTCTGAGCGAGCAATTTTAAGAGGTCTAGAGTTGATTTCTATTCAATATATTTTATATTAAAGTAAGTACTTGACTAGATGAGCTTATAAATTTTTTCCTTTTTTTAATCAAAAAAAGAGAACAAGAGCAGCATCACGGAAATACTCAAGCTACATCAGCTGACTTTGCTGCTTTTGTACTCCTGTACAATAAAAGACAAGCTCGAATCTGACAATGACTGACGTTGCACACGATAAAGAGTGTATGACACACAAAAAATGCCCACGACTGCAATTTTCAACTCGAATGAATTTAAAAAAAAAAATAATACCTCACTACTTAATGGTTTTCAATGCAAATAAATTATATGTTTCTGAAATTGGTATCCCAAATTCAAATTTTTATAAGTGTATAAAAGTTGCCCTAAAAAAAAGAAAACTTTTAAAATGATAATAATGATTGTATAAAAAATTGGAAAATTATACTTTAATGAAATTTTATTTAAATTTCATCAAGTTGCAAAATAAGGAATAGTGTTGAATTTTGAGGAACGAATAAATTTTTGAACGGAACTTTGAAACACTCGCTTTACAATAATTAATGGGCTCTTGTTTCTCTTTCCCACGTGTTCAAGGCCCAAATGTCACTCGCAATGGCACTGAATTGGTGTCACTCTCAATCAGTGGGTCAGTTATAAAGTCTGATATAGTCGCGAGACGCGAGTAATAAATAATTGCCGGAGGGTTGAACTTACATTTCTCGAGAAACTATATAATTACGAGTATTTATCAAACTATATCAAAGTCAGAGAATCAAACTTCCTTTACAGTGTATTATAAATTTATATTTACATAATGCTTTTATTTTCACTATTGCAGTATTATCGAATACAAAATTTAATTAACTTGGAAAAATATAATTCTCATTTATCAAAAATAAAATGAAAATTAATATAAATCCTCTTAATTTTTAAATTTAAGAATGCTTTTAAATTGATTATGAGTAACGGTAAATTACCTATCATCAAATATTTGGAAATAATTTTTCAGAATTTTAATAGAATTAATTTTAATACAATCACCAATTAAAAGGAAAGTTTCTGTCATAATGTATTAATTGTATATCTAATATAGCAATAATATGGCAATTTATTTTTATTTTTATTTTTAATCGTTATGCTTATTTAACAGTTAATTGTTTTATTATAATTATTTCAATTATATCGATTTAGTGAATTTAATAAACATGTTTCTATGTGAATAAAATACAAACAAACATTGAATTTCAAGGACCAAGAAGTAGATCATATATAATCTCGTATATTTTTTATTTATTATATATGTAATAAATAAAAAAATTGTAATCAAAAATTAAAAAATTATATTCTGGTTTATATAATGATAATTGTACTAAATAAAAATTACCTAAATCGTCACTTTCGAAGAGAAGATTTTCATGAATTCCAAGTCGTCTGCAAAATTGTATAAAATTTTCCATATTATCACGTGAAAAAAAACTTCGTCTGGCAGCATTTTCCCAGCATCGTCCTCTTATTACTGGCATCGGCTGAAATATTAATAACAAGTTGTAAATTCAGATGTTCATTACATGAACATTTTGCTTCCTCGTGGAGAAAGCAAAATTTTATTGCCAAAATGTGAATTTTTGATTTTTTAACTTTCATTAATTCTTTAAATTTACCTCAAATGTATACTTTATATATATCGATCGATTCATCTTGACGTAAGGAATACAATTATTTCATATATAAACTTCAATTTAAAAAATCACAAAATTCTATAGCCAAAATGTGAATTTTTAATTTTTTAAGTTTCATTAATTCTTTAAATTTACCTCAAATGTATACTTTATATATATCGATCGATTCGTCTTGACGTAAGAAATACGATTTTATTATATATAACCTTAAATTTTTCTATTTAAAAATTTTTTCGATTAAAAAAAAATTTTTGGAAAAAAGACGATAAAATTTTTTTTTGGGGGTATTTTTCAAAATCCTTTGGTCAGATTTGAGATATTAATATGATAAATGAGCCTACTAAATTTTATCTAAATCCATTAAAAACTGTTAAAGTTATCTTCTAAACAAAAAAGGGATCCACACACACACACACACACACACATACATCCGGACAATTGATCAGGATCTCATATAACATGTTTCTATAAAGAAAAAAATTTGTTTCCGTCACTTTGAAAAGTTTTATAAACGAAAGAACTACAAAGCTTCCTCCACGAGGAAGCAAAATAATATAAGTTATTTAATTGGGTAATACTTCTCCTATATATAATTAAAGAACCTATCGAGAAACCTATTAAAAATATATAATTTATAAATTAATTTTAAAGTTCTAATAAAAAATTAAAAAATTTTCTTCTATAAACAAAAACTGTAAACGATTTAAATATGGTTTCTTATTGAATAAGAAGATTTTCTCTTAATTTAAAAAAATAATAATCCAGTATAATTATGTGTATATAAATTTCATTTATAAAAAAAGAGTTGTTTTCATCAATTTATCATCAAAGTGATGAAATCTTATGGTTTTCAAAATTTGAGATACTATACTTAGATATTTATATTATGTTATTTAACATAGTGTATATAATTATCGTGATTGAATACCAAATTTCTTCAAATAAAAATCCTCAAAATTTATATATATACCCAATGTTTTGGGTTTAAAAATCAAGTGCACATCAATTCATTGCCGATATTTTTCTTAATTTAGTATTATTTGAAAATTAAGATTGGTTACAACATTTAGAATTGTATCTCACGTTATATAAGAAAGATGCAGTTAGACTGATAAAACTATTTAACTTTAATTAATAAAATAAAATAAAATAAAATATTCGAGAATGAGTTTTTGTTTACATAATGAAAAGATAAATTTAATTAAAGACGTAATTATTTTAAGTATACAGTGAAAGTAAAGTGATACAATTGAATCGCATTGTTATCATGAGATTTAGCGAATTAAACAAATTAAAAACGTAAAAGTAGGTAAAAGCCTTACTCCTTTTGCTCTTCCCGAGTCAATAGCCGATCTGGCCTTTTCCTGAATTACTCTCGCCAGACGACACACCACGGCTCCATTGTCCAAAGCATCAAAAAAATTCTCACCTGTTACGTGGTCCACATCTAAAACAGTTAGAAATTTATTCAATGATTTATTCATTTTTTAATAATAAATTATTTACAGTTTGTTTTTTAAGCAAATTGAAGGAGAAAATTTTTAATTCCATTCAATTTCAGAATTCTTATTACTTATTTGTCAAGTACACAAAGTAGATGATCACCAATTTAAAAAAAATTCTTTGAATAATATTTTTTTATAAATTTTCACATCTTTTTATTCATCAATAAATTTACAAAAAAATGTATTATTATATTAAATAAAAGGAATCCACCAGGAACGAAAAATATTTTTTTCGTAAATTATGAATTGCTATGCCTACATATGTATAAAAAAAGTTTTTTCATTTAGTGCAATTTCTAAACAAGAGGATTGAATATAGAGAAAGTGCAAAACCGATTTAATGGTAATTTCATAAATTCTGTTTTATTTTTTTTAATGTATATAAACATAATCATAAATCATTGAAGCCTTCTAAGTTTAGCGAAACTTTCGTGCCGATCGAATGGTTGTCGAGAAGTAGGTCATTTGGTAAATCATTTGTCTTAAATTCTTTTTCTTTTTAAATTATTTCTAAAACAATGGCAAACATCTGCAACGTAATCCGAATGAAGAGACAAAAAATCATATAAACATCAATTTATTTAACTGAAATTTAATTTAATGAGAGTTAGATTTAAAAAAAAATCATTAGAAATAATATATCGAAAATAAAATATTTTGATTTTCTTTTTTAAATGCACTAAAAACATGTTACTTATTTCATGCAACTTTTTCTGTACAATATGATATAACAAGAAAGTACCTTCTTTTTAAAATGACTGTCCTCTGTCTACTATGAAGCGGAATACTCTTATTTTAGAAGGAAAACATATAAGTTGCGATCAGAAGAGTATAATTTACAGATTAATTTATAAAATAACTCAATTTCTCAAATTTTTTATACAAAAAACTAAAAAAGTAAGGAAAATCTACAACAGAGTTTGTTTTAAAAAAGGTAGTTTATATGAATTTCGGAACTGATTTGAAAATTTATATCAGAATGCTCTTAAGAAGGTCAGAAGAGATCACTCCTTTTGTAACTCGGTCATCATTTTGTCATTTGTGAGGTTAAACCGTTACAGTTCAAATATGAAACGATCCGAATCCGAATCAGGAATACAACTGCCTGGCGGGTAAAGGAATAAATCAAGCAAAGCGCTTGAAAATCATTTCAGTTTCATTTGAGAGATAAAAAAGCACGACAGATGAGTTAGTAAACAACAATCTCTTCCAAGTTGCTGTTTACGTACTTTTGAAAAAACCTCACTATAGCAGTAGGCCTACTTTTTCTCCTAATAATCTCCTTTAAAGCGCAATATCGATTTGAGTATAAACGTCACGCGAGGTTTAGAATTTCATCAGAAACTTTTTTTTCGGAACAAGATTCTCTAATATTAAGAGGAGCTAATTAAGGAACTCAAAGACAAAAGTTGTACTCGAATCTACAAAAGAATAGCAAAAATGAATATACCAAGAACAAAGAAGAATAATATAATGTCATATCTCCAAAGGTTTGGCATTGTTTGATCCTCTCTTTTTGTCAATTCTCATGGAGTAATCGACAAGAATATGTCCTCCTAGTCACAATATATAACAATCGTGCACGGCGTTGCCGCTAGTTCCGGGTGACCGAGATCCCGATTCGGCGCAGCAGTTCGCAATCCACGGTCTCCTCCTATCCTGAGAGTATTTGCGAGCCTATTATTTATTCACATATACACGAGACTTTGCACAAGGCACATGATTTCCCTTTCTTTTATTCTCTCGAATGCCTCTCTTTAAACGCCAATTACGTGCACAACTTATTCTATAGAAATTCACGAAAGAGTGAATTAATGCGGATCAATTGTTTTAAAGGAACACCTATACATAAGAACTTTAATTTCATTTCTTTCATGTCTTCGTCTAGCTCTTTTAAGAATTTTAGTATTAGAGGTCTCTCTTAGTAGACATTCCATACGACTGTGTTTTTAAACCCCATGTTCCAATCTCACAAGATTTGGAGATTTTTGTAATTTTATTAACTTATAAAGGTTTCAAAAAAATCGCCAGACATATAGACACGTCTTTAGATATATATTCAATCAAGAGATGACATTGTTATTCAATTTTTCAGAAAACGTAGCGCATACAAAGCGCAAAGTGATTCAGCGTTGAATTTTCAGAAATCCTAAACCTGTTTCGTCGTAATGACATTTTGTCAAAGTATTTGTCCGCTTGCATATAGTGCATCTGCTCCTCACTACCTGAGATGCGAGCTGGACTATCGACTTGACTACTTTCACTTAAAAATTCAAAAATCCGAAATTAAAAATGCTAGTTAACAAAATTTTTAAATCGTTATAATTTTTTAACTTTTCTGTAAGAATATGTATTAAAAAAATTAATCGATAAATTAACAACTTTTTATTTTATAAATGAACGATTATACAATTTATTTATAATTCAAAAAGTCACATCTTAAAATTAAGAAACAATGTTGTTAGAAAAAAACCAAACGTAATAAAGAACAAATATATTTTTCTCTGAAATTTCAAAAGTAATAAAAATTTAAATTTATTAGCAAACAATGTATTTATAATATACACCAATTATCATTCAATTCGAATAAAATATTAAACACTAGCACAAGAACAAGATAAGAAAATCCACCTACACAATTAATGCGTAAGTGAGGCCTTGTTTTTCCAGAATATAGGCAAAGCAGGCCTTCGGAAAACACGTTTTAAAAAATATCCTATTTTTTGTAAGGGTATAGGACAGGAATAATGGGAACATTCAATTGCAGCGCGACAGGTAGCTGTGGAGTTGCAGTTACCTAGCTATTCATCTAAATCTCTATTAAGTAAATTTTTTCTTTAAATTAAGCGAAGAATTAAAAATTTGTATTAGTCATCCATTTGGCTCACAATCAGTTGGAATTCTCGTAAATATGAGAATTCGGTTCAATTAATTCTGTCAAATTTTTTGAACCCTATATTGATAATTTAGTAATATTTCTAATTCTGTCTTTTTGCTGCGTGTGAGCCGCGCGGCATAACTAAGTATGGAGATTTTTTTTCAAGGAGTACGAATGCAATAGGTGCAACCCTATTGTTGTGAGGTCGAGTCATAGGAGAGTCACGAGCCCATGCACGGGTTCTCATTACCATTTGTATCTCAGAGGTTCCATCGCTCGTGTAAGCCCAACCTAGTTCCTATTTCCCATCACGTATACATATTATACATTTGATTCCATCGAGACGTGTGGACTTCCGAGCCACTTCAACTCAATAGTGATACAGAAATCAAATTCAACAATTGTTTTTTATTTACTCACTACTTGACTACACAACAAAAAATAAATTTTACTGGCCCTTAACAGTTATTTAGGTAACAGATTTATATTCTCTGCACAAAAGACAAATCAAATAAGAATCCTTGTCCTCAAATGACAAGTTAATTTTGCAGTCAATTACATCTAGTATTACCATGCTGGGTAGATTAAAAAAAATGACCTGCCTTATAACGTATAACAGATCGCAAAGGAAAGAGGTATTGTAATTGAGTCGAGTTGATCGTAAACTTCCATATACGTTATGAATTGCATTTATTCTATGAAAATTGCCCGAGGCTCAATCTGCACACAGATTATCAACTAAAAATTTGTGTACTTTTCGTTTATAAACAAGGGTTCTAAAAAATTGTTGGCAGAGTTAGTTTCATGATGAAAATATATTTAATTGAATTCCTGATGTGACATGCAGTGACAAAAAAGTATTACCACATCATACATATATGCATATCGTGCTCATAGTAAAAAAATAAATGAAAAGGAATCAAAGGACAAGCAATCGTGCCCGATTTGACTGGTACTGCTTTTCGTGCACAAAATTTGATAACCATCACAGGGACTTAGCATTGTTGATTTATGAGACTCGACTCAGGTTATGGAGAGATCGAACAAACTAAATTATCCACCGCCCTGGCGCAGCCTGACAAACGGTTATACAGCCAATTATTCGGTGTGCTTGGAAATGCGATCTTCCTCTTCTGGAAATAGCTACGAGGTCAAAGTTCAATCTCCTGTCTTTATCCGGATTTCGCTAACTCTTATATCCATAAAGATAGATATCATTGTTAGATTATAATACCTATGGTAATTCCTATTGCCCTTACTTTTATCTTTCGAATAAAGCTTACAAAATTTAGATAAAGCAGAAAAATCAGATAAGGGCAAATTTTCAAATGAAAAATTTATATCTCTCGAATATACATATGTATTTCAGTTTGGAAAAATCTCACTTGAAGAATATAGAATTTTGCTTGGAAGAGAAGATTCAATTATATGAATAATAATGTAATTTACAAGCATATAATTGTCGAAAAAGAAATTTTCATACAGTTCAGCTTGCTTGGACTGTCAGTGACCAATCAATAATCCGTATCGCGTATCAGGTGATCGAAACAAGATCAGATTAATCGTGACAGCTCGCGTCGCATACCTCCCTGACTCATTCATTCTCTTTTTCCTTTGAGAGACCACAAGGTGGAATTGATTGTACCCATACACCTCATGAAGTCCAGATAAAAAAAAGTTTCAAGAACTGTTAAATGCAAAAACTATCTTTTTACACTTTATTTATAGAATCGAAAACTAGAATATAGCCAAAACATGAAAATATTAAGAATTCCCCTCAAGGTAAAATTCAAGTTAAAAATTGAAAAAAAAATTAAATCCCTACATAATAATAATTATGTATTACAAATAATTTTATTTTTTCAAGAGATGAAAACAATTTTTCCATTAAAAAACTGTTTCAATTCTTTAGTCTGTCAATATACAAATTTTGAGAAAAGAGAAAGTTATTAAGCTAATTTCAAATGCAAAAACAATCCATGCTACTGAGATATCTAATTTCATTTGCAGTTTGAATTGGACATACATACTTTAAATATAAAGAAATCATTACGCGGCATATATGAAAGAAAGGCAGGAAATTAAGAGATATTTAAATGCATTTAAATGAATAGTACTAAACAATTAAAATAATTTTATTCAGATGTATATTAAAAATGTAACAAAATAACCTTATAATTTCATAAAATTAAAAATATATACATAAAATTTTTGTAATTTTTAACTAAAATTTATGCTTTTGCTTTTTTTGACTATTTTGTTATTACTTATAGTAATATAAAAAAAATTTTATTAGCCATGACTTTTTATTTTTCAAAATATAAGAAAAAAATAAACTTATTTGAAAACCAAAATAACACAGAAAATTATAAGGTATTAAAAATAGGTGCAACGCTTATTTTAATGCCTTTTAATTTTCTGTGAATAAACCCGTGATAATGTTTCTGATTAACATAATTTTTTTGGTGTAAGAATACGACAAAGACTTGTAAAATTGTAAACCATAAATGGCATTCGGCATGCAAGAGCAACACAGAGATCAGCATCTGGCGCGAGACGTGGGAAAGGATATTCATATATTTGGACTTCCGTTTGTCAGCAATATATGCGTATATTACTCTTCAGATGAATGGGCGTGATTCTCAAAAACAGAGAAAAATCCTCCGTTTTTATTACCATATTCATTTTTAACCAAACGAACCGAATTTCGAGCTCAAAATTTTATGGCTACTAACACAAGAAACGTTTATTCATCTCTATACGATACTGAAAATTTCAAAATACCATTTTGACCCTCACGAAGAAAACAATAAACAAAGATTTCCAAAAAACAGAGTATATTAAATAATAATTAATATATTTAGAATGTAGTATCTTAAATTTTCAGTTCATATGAATAGTTTAGAATTTTTTTTTATTTGGACATTTCAACTTTGAATGAAAGTGATCCAAAGTTCGAATTTGGATTATGTAAATACATTGAATTTTGTCAATTAAAGAAACTGTCATGTCAATTGAGATTATTATTAAACATTATAGTATATAGTGGTGATGATCTTAAAAATAATGTATATGATCCTGACCTATATTTTATAATAAAATGCGAATAATAATTCTTCCAATGGAATATTTGATAGATGAAGTTTCAAAAATGACACTCTTTTATCGATGATTCTAAGAAGATCCCAATGAGGCTACAACCATAAAAGTTTTTCTCGTTTCACTCGAGTAGTAGCAAGGCTATATTTTTCAATTATTTTTATAATCGCTTTCTTCATTATTCGGTTCTTAAATTTATTGCTTTTTGACTCGCGCATTTTTTAATATTTTACTATTTTTAAGTATTTTTTAAATATATAACAATCACTTAAATGAAAATTTGAAATCAATTTTATAGCATATAACGGTATTATGTCAAAGAAGAAGGTGAATTGATGCCAAAGAAAAAAATGTAAATCAAAAAGAGATATGTTAATACTGCTTTTAAGATACTAATACTAAACTTTTGAATGCACGCTTATAACTCAGTAATGAGGATTAACAAAAGTTATTTTTTATCAGAGAAATTACCATACTGAAAAAGGAGTTGGAAGGTTTTGTAAGAGGATTTGTTTGAGCATTGTAAACTGTCAAGAGGAATATAAATATATATATATATATATATATATATATATATATATATATATATATAAGATGGATCGAAGCAGCTATAGCGAATTTTGATCCCTCCGAGATTTCTTCACTACGACGACAAAAGTGTTGTTTGCAGAATCGAATTGAAAACTTCTTATACTTGCTGCGCGTGTCCTTTGTCCTTTGTCTCTGGAGTAAAAGAAAATAAGGAGGAGAATGCATTGTAACCAAGTGTACACACATGGAAATTGCGACCGCCTTTCAACGAGACCGCTTTCCTAATATGGAATCAGATGCATAAATAAATAAAATCAAGAGCGGTCTGCACACATGTGATTTCGAAGGTGGCTGTGTCACAGTAACCATACAGTTCACATGCTGCTGCTTCCTTCATATGCTTTGGTATACCAAAGAATTACGTTCTCACTTATATTATTATTTATTTATTTTATTAAAATCATAGTTTATAGAGATGGGACAAGTCGATTCTCGAAAGAATAATTTCATATATATTTTAACTTCGATTATAAAATAATATCAACGTTAATTAATAGTAATAAGAACAAAAAATCTTGAGGTTAAAGTAGATAGACATTGAGTACACAATAAAGACAAAGAAATATAATTGATTACGTTTTTTTCACTTTTTTTATAGTTAAAATTGACGTAATATGCGATTGGAAAAAGCAGTCATGAGTTAAATTTTTCAGTACACCGAATTATCCATTACCTTGGATAATAATGAACCAATGACGCTATGCTCCACTGACTTCTGTCCTCGACTTCTCTCGATCTCAGCACAACTTTATATTTTTCACATTTTTGAGCATTGGATCAAAAGATTTATGTCCTTCACTCTGTTATGGGTAATGTTTCAAGATTAAACTTTACACATAAATTTATTATTGTCGATTTCAATTTATGAAATTAATACTATAATTTTAAATTTAAATCGACTGGTTTCATTAATTCAGTTCAAGTATATTCGCATATTAAATATACAGTCGAACCTTGATAAGTGAGATTAATTTTCAGGTCCCGTCATTTTCACATTTAAAAACTTGTATAATTGAAAATCATTTTTCTTCATTAGATTTCTGTAAGTGAGAGAAGCGCGCCTGCTTTCAAACCTCTATAACTGAATCTTTTCTATTCTATTTCTATTGGTGAGAATCTTTGGATTCTCACTTATCGAGGTTCGACTGTACCTATATATTAAAATGTCCATTGTTTAATTAAATTTAATAAAACTTTGTGCCTAATTTAAAAAATTTGAAATCATTGGACTTTTTTCAAGCTTGGTAGAGTTTTGAAAAGTTTTTGTAAAGTTTCATATATGCCGACCCTTGCTTGCTTGGTTGGTTAGTTCCAAATAAGGGGTGCAAAAATCTGTCAGCAGATCGTTTTCATAGTTCATTAACATTTAGACAAAGTGACCAGTGTTTACCATGTATAATGAATATTGTAAAAAACTAAATATCTACATATACATTTATATCTTGTACAATGGACAAACAGAAGGGATACATGCATGTGCGCGATGATCATATGTAGAAACGTGAGGATCTGCCAACAACTCTGACTCACCGGAAGTTAGCCCACCCCACCCTCCCCCTTATCCTGTATAGACGATAAAGACACTATGCACGTATACAAAGGACCTGCCGCATTACGCATAATATACGCTTGCGCGTCTCACGAATTTCGCGAGGGTCGTACCTTCGACCACGTTCGCTTCGTAGAATGCCAACTTACCGTGTAGCTCCGGCAAAGAAAAAAATACAATTAAACCAAGTGGAAACTCGTCGATGGTAAAGAGAAGACATGTCGCTGGTCTGTAAAAATTCACAGGACAGTCTCCTAATGTAGTAAGAAAACATATTCTTAATTTATTGCTTTGGATGGCATTTAGCACTTAAGTTTGTACTATATTTTCATAGAGGGTTAATTAAAATACTTTCTGCACCCCTCAAGTGCTCAATAAGTGTGGGGTTTTCTGTTGAGTCCAGTGACTCATACGATAATTATTCAAAAACTTGTCGTTTATCGACTTAAAAATGATTTGCAATAATTCTGCGCCTTTTTCACAAAGTTTTAATTTTAATGTAAACCATTAATAACAATAAGTAGCAATGGTATTTTACAATTTTAAGATGGAAGATAGAAAAATTAGATACTTTAAACGATTTAAAAGTTACTGCAATGTATCATTTTGCAGTGAAAAATGAAACTATACTTCTTGTGCCGTTAGTAAAGACGAAAACTAGCAAGTGATTCAATAAAATGTAGACCATACTTACTGATAGTTTTATTGATCCAATCAGCGAGATCCTCCTGAAGGGGTATCAGCTGTCGACTTTGTGCTGAGTGTAAGCGTTCGTGATAAAAGTCTGCATATTCTTCTTCTTCAGGTGACGGCCTTGGAACATCGACTCTGTTGAACACCGACACTGACGAGGGACCCCAGCTACTACGATATCGTGTGTGTTGAGAAGATGGGAATCGATTTGTAAACGACATCCTGTCGCTGCAAAGAAGCTTTTTACTCTTTGTCGATTTTCCTTCCTCGTTTGGTGTCTCGGTCACACTCGATGGTACACGACCACCTTCTTCCAGATCGATGAGGATTTCCGCCCTCGCCGTGCCAAGCGACTCTCTACGTTCTGGGGGTCTGAAAGAATTCACATCTTTTAGTTATGTCATCTCAACAATTCTTTTCTTTTCAAAGTGCCGGAAAAGAAAACCGCGAATGTCATTTTAATTTTGGTATCGTCAACTTTCCACCAGTTTCTGATCATTATCAATCAAAGTTTCACTATTCTGAATCATCCTAATTCGGGCGATCATCGATTCCGTCCCGTGAGGGAATCCACCACCAGGAATGGATTCTCGCCCGTATCCCAAGCCGAACTCAGGACTGGCAGTGCGATTGTATGAAAAAAGACGAATAGAAACGAAAGCTTTGGAGAAAATGAAAGTTTTGTTGCAATTAAGGCAATTATAGTACAGTCATCACTCCTCAGGCGCATGATACTTTGTGAGTTCATACTCACAAAGGGGCAATCGATGACTGCCCCCTAATTCATCATCTCGTTATTGTAAAACTAAATGTAAATATCTGATTAGTTTGCTAGTATGAAACATTATTTTTTAGCAATAAAAATTATTGTTACCAATACAATAGTCTCTCTATTGAATAATAGTGGATTCCTTTTGTGGGAAAGCGGAAGGTATTACAGCAACTGCAAATGCATACAAGTCGCAACTGCTATAAATTCGTCAGTAGAAAATACTATACCGCGCCTACACTGAAGACTAAAAGTTACATTTAAGGACTTCCTTGTTCCAGATCTGGAACAACTCTCGACTAAACGATGGGCAAAAGGGAATTTAAAATTCCCTTTTTCTTCCGCTTTCATTAACATCCCATTTGTCATTGTTATTTCTTTTCTATTGTTGTCATAACTTGCATTATATAATAAAAAAGTAGTAATATATTAATATTCGTCAACTAATTTATAATGTAAAGTTGAAGCACTTATGACAAATATTGAGAATTCGCTCAAAAGTAACTTTAATTTTTTCTTCGAATTAATTTGATTCTGGTCTTTTGTTACCTTAACTTTCTTATAGTGTATAGTTGAAAGGATGATTTTTAATTTCTGAAAATAAGTGGAGGCTGAAACATTAAAAAAAAACAGGATAAAAAAGACCGCACTTAAATAAGTGACATGCTTTTGAATGGAAACGAGTTTGATTCACGATTTATTAATGCACTCACGAGAGCGTGTGTGTTTAATAAACCTGTATGCACGCATAATTCTTAATAAATCAGATTATCTTGACAAATAATGCACTGCTCTGACTCTTCACCGATAATAAGTGAAATATATCAGTCCGTTATCATGATATAAATGGAACAAGGCGTGAGAGGAGTTGTCCTTCGTGAGAATTGTATGGGTTTATAGAAAATTAAATAATATTAAATCATAGTGGTTTAAAATTATTTATAATACACATTCAATTACTTAACTAACTTTTAACTCTATGTTGGAATTTTTTTCTATATAAATCAAGAAAGGTAATAAAAATTACTCTTAAGTATCGAAATTTAATATTATTTCTTGGCATCTTAAAAGTAAAAAAGATGTTAAGAATTTTTATTGTTCCGAAAAACACTATTTTTTTTGTTTGAACGGCTACTTCGATAAAGATCAACATATAATAAATTCATAAAAATTTTATGCAACTGTTATAGTGTAAATAGTAAAGTTAAGTTTTTATTCCTTTTTCTTTGAAAAACTATGCGATAAACACTCAATATTTACAATGATAAATGTTAAAAATAAAAATCTTTGTACATAGAGAACATTTAAAAATTTTTAAAACTGTCTTTGAAAAGAAATTATTCCGATTGGTTATATCCTGCTATTATTTGCTTGGCACTATAAATACTGTAACTAATATAAGTGAATACAGATCTAGTTGAAAAGAATAACAACATAAATATAAAAGAGAGTTTTCTCACCTTCTGTTTGTCAGGTGATATGTTATTTTAGGGGCAATAATTCTTATACATCGAATTATGAAAGCAGTATAGTAGTTATAGACTGAACTTGCGAAGGACATACGTGGGTTTCACCTGCATCTCACTTAAAATATTTTCTGCTGACAACAAACCGCATTTTGTTGATAATTTTCCATCAATATTGTTGTCCAATTACAAATATTTGTTTAGGACAGTAAATGAAATTCAACAAACATTTAATAGAAAATTCAATTCTTTAATGAACAAGACAAATGTATAAAAATATACATTTAAAAATTAATCAAGAAAATGTTTTCCCGTAAAGAAACAAAATATAAACATGGCTATATTCTCTTGTTATATAAGTTATAAGGATATGTCCGTGCGACGTTTTAGAACACATTCGAGTGAATAGAGAAAATGATCATGTTAATTTCGTGAATTGCTTCCCGTCGCGATGATTTGTTCAACACGATCACTCGACACGTTTCTCTATGAAGAAAAGTGCCTTGCACTCACGCTTCTAACCCCTTGAACACTAACTATATGTAGTACAATGAGAGGTTCGTGTACTGAAGAAATAAAATCTAACCCCTTTTTTATATATGTAAACTGTTTACATCGTTCTACGATTTGTTGATAATTTGTATTAAATATATAAAAACATTTGCAAAGTTTTTAACAATATTTAAAACTATTTTTAAATCTATTAAATTTATAATCAATATTAAAATAAAAAATAAATATTTTTAAAATTCCTATATTTTATGAAAATTTATTGACTGACAACGTTACTCTTAATCATGCAAACACCAGAATTTTTTGTTAAGTTGTAATTAAATTTCGAAGAAACAGTATAATATACGTGTTGAATTACTTTTAAAAACGGAAAAATAAGCCAGTAAATATGGATTTGGATGTTACGTCAAAGAGCGAAAGTATTATTTGTGTTATTGAACTCAAATGTTAACCTGCAGTTACGCTAGAGTTAGCCCAAATGTATTTACAGTTGTGTTTACTAATCTATGAGACTCCATTCTCAGGAAACGCAGTGCGTGCAAACGACCAGTTTTCCTTGAATTGATATTTGGATATCCATATAAAATGGGGTATCTCCAAATAGGACACTTGTCATTCATTTCCTATATTTAAAATCTTCATCGTATTCTTTCGAAGATAATTTGTTATTCATGCTGGATGAGTCTTGATTTTATCACCATGTTCATCAGAAATTATTTTCAATCATGATCGTCACACGATTTAAATAATTTCTGGATTAACAAATTGAGACGTAGTTTGGAAAATTAAGTTATTTTTCTAATGATAAGTCAATACATTATACACATAGTTATAATGAATTAAGACTTAAAATTAAAAATATCTTCTGATTTGCTGATTAAGAACTCTAATTATAATAAAAAATATTTGATTTTTTTGTTTTAGTGCGTAAGGAGACAACTTTTTTTTCTGAAAATGATAAAGTTTGAGTCTTTCTTTCAAATATATATATATATATACTTTATGTTAAAGTAAACGTTTTTACTCTCAAGTAGCAGAATTTCTCGCCCACTGAGCCTGACATTACAGATTAACCTGTCCTCGAGTTTGTAGTCGCAAAGAAAAACTGAAAGACTGACCTTACGCTTGCAAGAAACGTATACGATAATATGGTTGCTATAAATTTGCGAGAAATAGTTTTGCCTGAGGCATATTTCGCCCACAATGTAATTAGATTTTTCTAAATTTATTTCTAGAAAGTATTTTCACATTTCTGTGTTATTACATTGTATCATTTTATTTTCCCATTCTTTATATCGGAGTCATAAATAACAATTATATGTACGAACAATAAGATCAATTTTTTTTTAAATTTATAGAAATAGGGAAAACGAAATCTTAAATTATTCATATGGCCTTAAAAATAATTTAGCTTAAAATATTATTTTAACTAAGAAAAATGTTCTACTTTGACAGCAAAATATTTGGTTGACATCAATCAAACCTTATTGGTTAGTCTAATTTTTTTATGTGGATATACGAATTCATGGATTTTTCCAAGTCATCATAGTGGGTTAAAAAATACTCTCTTTTACGTTTCATCAATTCATGCTGTCCTCATCAAAAAAATTTCAGTTGTCACTGATTCAATTCTTCTTAGTTAATTTAAATAAAAAAAATTGTTGGATGTAGCAAATTTTTTATTAGTTGAACCAAATTGTTTTGTTGAATTAATAAAAAAAAGGTAGACTATACTTAACTAAACGGCTTTTAACTTTGACTTAAACAAGAACTTCAGTTGAAACAATAATCCAATTTTTAATTATTAATGACATTAGACACTCGTCTCCTTGATGCGGATCCATTTTTATAAATTTTTAGGTTTTATTTCTTAAACAAATTGGCCACATTTTCTTTCAAAGTATGTTAAAAATAATCAAAGAAAAACATATTTTGAATAATTTCTTAAAGAGAATAATTTATCTTAATATTTTTTTTTATACTCAAAATTCTATCAAAATAGTTTTAAACACATTAAGACAGAAGGATCATAAACTTGTAATTACCACATTTCCATACTGTCATTTTTTGAATATTAATCAAAATTATAGTTAGTAATTGTTGTAATTGCACAGATAGCAGTTCCTGCCACAATGAAAACTAAATTCTGTTTTTCTTGTCTTTTTTTCAGATATTTAACACAGAAGATTTGAAATAATATTAACGTGCATTTAGCACATATGTCTATTAAAATTAAAATAAATAAAGACCCGGGTTTGATGCACGCAAATTAAGAACGCTTTCCGACTGCCAATAATATTTTAGTTCCCTTAGCAAATTTTCTCAGCAAATGTCAGTTATCAACTGCGGATAAAGGATTCATTTTCTTCCGTATAAGAATGCATAACAAAAAGACAAACCAACCACAATTAATAAATAATTAAAAATAAAAAGTATTAACAACAAATTCATTGTAATATTTCATTACATGTAGAAATATATTATTTTATAGTCGGTAAATTGTTTTTTTATCGTTATCAAGAGAAATTGAAAGGAATTTTAAAAGCCAAAAAAGTGATGAGTTTTAATGTGTTTTAATTAACGTAGGCCCGATTAGATAATGTAAAATAAAAAAAGACGCAGCA